ATTTGGTTTTATGATTCCTTCTGATAGTCTAAGTCGTTGAGGTGTCATTTTCTTTTCACCAGGTTTGCTTGATTGAGTCACTTCTTGCTCACCAACATTAGTGTCACTTGGATATTCAGACACATCATCACTTAAGCAAATGTGTACAATTTTCTCCCCCATCTTCCGTGGAAGAATTTCTTCCATTTTCTCCCCCGTCTCCTGTGGAAGAATTTCTTCAGTGTTGTCCAAGCCTGATAATACTTTCTTCTCTAAGGGTCATCCCGCTTCCATTGCACCACTTTGATTGTCAATCATGTGGTTTGACCATCTTGAATCAATGATCCAGTCATCATCATAATGATATGTTCTCTCATCATCGTCATGAGCGCTAACTCATCTTCTTCTATGGCACATATTGCCTCTGCATCCCATTCCTCCTCCATCTCCATGTTAGAGGATGCCACGTTGCTTTCGACAGACTTTTTTTTGGATCAACATTTCCTAGACATGTGACCCTTCTTCCCACAATTGTTCAAATCTCTTTCCTTGAGAACTCTTGTTGTCGTTCTTCTGAACTCTCTCAGGTTGTGCAGTTCCTTCATAGCTTCTTCTTTTGTTACCGTTTTTGTATCCATGTTTGGTAGACGACTTATTATTGATCTGACTTTCACTTGTGTAGAGTGCTTCTTCTTCACCCTTCAATATGATGCCTCCCATTTGTTTAGCCATGAAAAATTTTCAAACTCTACGAGTGATGATTGAGTAGGTCATCCTTGTACAACAATAATGAAGCTTCTATATTCTGGTTGCAATCTGTGGATAATGATTATCTTCATTCGATCTTCTCCAATTGCAGACTTCGGGTCTAGTTCAGTAATCTCTCGGCAAATCGACTTGACTTTGTGGAAGCAATGAGCAATTGTCATGTCACATTGTGAAATTGATAATAGCACATCCTCTAGAAGTTGTAGCCTCGTATCGTTCTTCTTTGAGAACAACATCACGAACATGTCTCATGCTTCTTTTGGTGTCTTGTCATCCCAAATATGCTCTAACATCTCTTCTTCGATTGTGGTTTTCAAGGCAACATTGATTTGCCTGTTTTGATACTCCATTTGCGCAAGACGTCGTTAGGATCCTCCTCTGGTGGCGTAGTTTCACTCCCGTCGACGATCTACCAAAGATCATGTCCTTGTCAATATGATATCATGCATGTTGCCCACGTGCTGTAATTATTGTTGAGTTTCTTGATTCCTACAACGAAACGATTTGGAAATCACCCATCGTGTTGGCGATACCTCAATAATACCAAACAAGCCTTTTCGACACAATGCTTGCAGAGTCACGGACTATTCACGATACAAAGAAACTCACTCACTAATGATAAAACGATTTGGAAATCACCCATCGTATTGTCGATACCTCAATAATACCAAACAAGCATTTTCGACACAATGCTTGCAGAGTCACGAACTACTCACGACACAAAGAAACTCACTCACTAATGATATCAAGAAATTGTTTCTGATGTGGAAGATCAGACAGAGCTACAACACAGAGCATACTAAGAATTCTAGGAGATCAGACAACCTACACCAACCTAGTTGTGATACCATGTTAGGAATCACGAACCTTCACAATGGTATGATATTGTCCACTTTGAGTATAAGCTCTCATGGCTTTGCTTTGGGCTTCACCAAAATGCCTCATACCAATGGAGATTGTATTCCTTACTTATAAACTAATTATCATTCCCTAAATTAGCTAATATGAGACTCATTCCCAACCATGGTCACCATAACATGTTATAGAACTTTTTGATCTTCTTGTTCTTCACCAAAATTGTTCCTTTCTTCACAGTTTCACCAAAGAACATTGAGCCTAAGGAGAGAATTTTGCATTTTATAGAAAATGGTTATAATCTTACCCAAATTTTCTTCCTTTAACTGGATAGATACAAGGCCCGCTAGCTTTCAATTTTTTTCGTAGAAGTTGTTTCTTAGATTAAGGGAAAGCTTCCTTAAATATTTCTTTTGGGCGATCATGTTCTCTTAAGGTGTTTTTACCCCGTAAGTGTTATATAAATAATTAATTTAAAAAATCTAATCAATATTTGTAATTTAGATTAAAAAATTTGTTTGAGTAACTACTACATCACGTGAGACTATGTAACGACTTGGTTTTTTAGGGACTCGAGCCAAGAATCATTACTCACTGACGTGAAAATAAGTAAAAATGTGTAAAATTTAAAAACTTTTAAACGTGCATGTACATAAGAAAGTTTAGACTCAATACGACATCATTTGAAAATACATCACACCGCACGACGCACACCCAAAAGAACATGACACCGGTAGTTCATAAAATTCAGAAATACAAAAAAAAATAAATAAATAAAGGGTTCATAAGGAAAACATATCAATGGATACATGACACCGATGTAGCCCAAAACTCCATAGCCCCTAGCTTGTGTGAGCCTCCACATCTAAAAGAAAAGTAAGAGTAACGGTGTAACGCTGAAAAAAACAAAAAAAAAAAGTTGGCCAAGTCAACTGAGGAGCAAAAATGTCATTTTGCCCCTCTAACGGTTCAAGGAAAACCCACTCAAACCTAAGGAGTTAGAGAGAAAATTGAGAGGAAACAGAAAAGAGTCGAAGTTCGTCAGACCGCCGCCAGAATCCACCTTCAGACGAGACCTGTATAAGGACTGATAAGCTCGCGAGACGGACGCTCTGCCAAGATCCAAGGGAGTTTCTTGAGGTAAGGTTCTTGAACGAACTTTTGCGGATCTGAGCTTTTCCTATGTAAATTGAGTTCTAAAATGTTGACATATTTAACTAGGAAAAACTCTCCACACGATCTGTGAAGAAGTTTGGTCAAAATCTCGATCCGAAGGCGAAAATTCGAGAATCGTTCGAGAACGGTAAGCAAACTTCCAATGCTCGTAACTCGTCTCGTAATTAAGCAAAAATTACGAAAAAAAATACCAAGATCGTAAACCATATCAATCTAGAACTTTGTCGAAGAAATCATATCTATCCGAATTCCAAATCAAAAGATATAAAAATCGGAAAACGACGGATCGGAAAATGGCTCTATGTTATGGATTTCATGAGAGAGAGAGAAGAAGAAGAAAAAAAAGAGAGAATTTTTCGACAGCCACGTTCCAACCGGCGGGAGGCGGAGCACGACTTGGCAAGCGGCGGACATGTGTCAATCGTCGGCTAGAGCAATGCAGCTCCAGCAGAACGACGACACATGTTACCTGCAAACCCAAACCGAACTGCTGACAGACCCGAACTGAACCGCTGACCGGCCCGAACCGGACAGGACCGCCTAACCCACAACTGCGCAGAAGCAGTCCGTGCGTGGCAATCACATGTGTGCCCTGCGACTTACGCCCTTCCCCAAGCATGAGGGCGTGTGGGCGACGCGTGAGAGGCCTGTTTTCGCCCGTTTGCCTTCTATTTTCCCAATGTTTGTTCCGATCCCAGTTCTAATAATATTTTTATGTGAATAGGGACCTAATCAAAGAAAATCAATATTTTTGGACACCTCACAAGCATAGAAATGCTAACAAAAGGGCACGCGTCAACCAGGTAAGTCACCACCCGGTGTTTAGGAAGAAATACTTGTAGGATTCGCTTGGATTACATGCATGCTAGTTAATTGTCTTAGGTGGTAGCCTTCTATGATTGAAATTAGGCATGTTGATAGCAATGAACATGATTTATTGGGTGAATTACATGAGCGTGTGATCATGCTTTAAATTTTCGTTGTATGTATGCATATGTTTAATTCATGTTGGAATTGTGTACTCCGCATTCCGGGTGCTTGATGGATGACTTCGCCCCATTGAGCGCGAACTTCGCATTCCAGGTGCTTGATGGAGGTCATCGCCCCGTTGAGCCTACGTGTCTAATTTGCGTGAATTACATATAATGATGTTAGATGACGGTTGCATGCACACTCTATTATTTTCTATGACACATCATTGGGATAAGCCTAGGGATTTGCGGTCAGGAGTGACAAGTCACTCTAGCTTAATCTAACCTTCTCCTAGGAACCTAGCAGATTAACACGGTGACGAGGTACCTTAGGAGTATTCTTAGACTACTAGTTGTGTGAACAGTATCTATAGCTTCGTGGGAGGACTAGGGGTTCCTGATCAATTCTTACTGCTCCTAGCCATTTTGCATGGAAAATGTGTCCCAACATCGTACGACCCATTAGCTGCATGGGAACGGGTTGGCTCGCACCCCCCATAGGGGAACTATATGGGCTTAGGAGGTACTCAACACTCCCCTAAGCTAAACATCATGTAGTCTCAGATAGCCATGCAGAGGTAGCATCTCATAGAGAAATACCGACTATTTTAACTCAGCATAAGGACTCTTAGGTATGAAATGAAAGGACGATGAACCAGTGAATTCCAAGGAGTAAGTCCCCAGGGGCAAGCCCCAAGGGACTAAGACTAGAACTAGACATCCTAGAGACAATTAGGAGATCGTGGAAATTCTATTAAGTTAAGATGCGATGAGAGCTACAAGTAGGCTTACTTAGTATAATTTTTATACTCATTCTTGCTATGTTTTCCTTTTTCAGGAGCATGAGGTGTCAGTCAAGGGCGGGCGTGATAGAGACGAGAACCATCACAAAGAAATGTGTTGTCTCAGAGCGTAAGTCGAGTCTTTATTTTGTAACTGTATTATTTTCATATTTTGTTTCCAAACTGTTGATTGTTTTATTTGTCGTTTCGAAATTTTACTGGAGGTAAATGATTTTTTTTCCTCTATTGCGATTTTAAATTATTTTCTTGCCTTCATGTGTCGTTGTAAGGCGACTCGTAGTAAAATATTGGGTTGTGACCAAGCTCAGTAGACAGCTTGCTAGTAGTTCAAAGTTAGTTAGTTAAATTGTTTCGATATCTTATTTTCATTTGGAGATTTGTTTCGGTGATAAAAAATTGATTAAAAAATATTTATTTTTATTGTATTTGAAGGGGAAGACATATAAGTCTCTTTTTTACGGTAACCCTTAAACTATCTTCCACCTCTCTTCTTCGCCGGAGTCCTCTCCGTGCGCTCTCTATTTCCCTCCCTCCACTGCGAACCTTCCGGCCACATACTCACCGAGACCATCCAGGCGGCGCGGCACGACGGCGAAAGACAGGCCTGCGCCAGCTCCTTTTTTGCGAGGTTTGCAAGCATCATGATCTCCGAATTGACCTGCCTAGCATTCATCTCCGTTCCTAAAGAGTTTTGCAAATCGAAATTCTGCAGGACCTAAATACAGGTGTTGATGATAATTAGTGAGTTTTTCTTCACTGTATGAGCTAATTGAAGCCGCTTGATTTTAGATTTGGTGGCACCATCTTGATTTTAGTAGAACAAAGGACCTGTTTAGGTGAAGTAAATTTTCATTTTGTTTAGTATAATTTTAATTTCAGTTTTGATTAAGTTAATTTTTTATCATCTGTTAGAATTTATCGATAGTTGTTTACGTTCATTGGTTGTAAAATGTTACGTTCATTCTTGGGGATGAGAAGAACTGCGACCATTATATGATCAAACTGGCTGTATTGATGATCCCAGAGGTACTCATTGAACTTATTCTCTCGAACATTGTCATCTAAATGATCAAGGCTAAGGATCTGAATGGTACAGAAGCTATGATATGTGCTTTATATTGACCATGCTCGGAATTGATTATATTGATATCATATTGTTGTCATGTATTGTACAGCGCAGTTGTTCAGATTGACCTATTATTTGTTGAGGCTTGTTGGGAAGGAGTCTCACCTTGGCTAATTTAGGGAATTATCATGGGTTTATAAGTAAGGAATACATCTCTATTAGTATGAGGCCTTTTGGGGAAGCCCAAAACAAAACCATGAGAATTTAGGCTCAAAGTGGACAATATCATATAATTGTGGAGATTCGTGATTCTTAACATTATTCATTTGCCTTATGGAATGGGGCTGTTGGGTTTAGGTGATTTGGTGCTCTATCATTATGCTATCTGCTATTTGGAACGGTGTTTTCTTATCAGGAGAACATTTTCTGCCTTGATCTAGACCTTTTTTCATATCTATTGTCAACTACAGTCTATTCATGCCCTCATTTGTATGTATTGCTAACTTTTTTTCTTTTTTTTGTCTGTTCTGATAGGTTTCTAAAGGCGAAAAGCTGTTTCAGTCAGATATAGAAATTGGGCCAAAACAATATTTGGTATAAGATATTTGGGTTCACTGATTTGTGTGTTGTAGTTCAATGATACAGAAATTGATCAAGGGATCAAGATTACTCGTTTTTCACCGAAATGTCTGCTTAATACATTTCCAATTGCTTAGTACTCACCGGCCAAACAAATTTGACCATGTGAGTCCTCATAAACAACATCAAAAGCTCCGTGAGCCCATTCCTTTCGTCACCGATGTTAAAGAGGTAAAGGATCCATGTGAGGCATTGGCTCTCTTCAAGGATTACCATGAAAGGGGATTCAAACACCACTATCCTTCCTACTCATCTCTCATCTACAAGTTGGCCCGTTCTCGTAGATTTGAAGCTGTCGAGATGATTCTTGGTCATTTACAAAATAGGAACATTCGCTGCAATGAGACCCTTTTTGTCGCTTTGATTCAACATTATGGGAAAGTCCATTTGGTTGAGAAAGGTATTGAGCTTTTCCATCGAATGCCTTCCTTTAATTGTTTTCGTAGTCGGCAGTCCTTGAATGTATTGCTTAATACACTAGTTGACTGTGACCAGTTTTCTAAAGCAAGTGAAATCTTCCAGCAGGCTTATGAAATGGGCTTCCGTCCTAATTCAGTGACCTATAATATAATGATCAAGGGTTGGATCAAGAAGGGTGAGTGGGAACAAGCGTGTAACCTGTTCAACGAAATGCTTGAGAAGAGGGTGCAACCTAGTGTAGTAACATACAATAGTCTTTTGGGGCTTTTGTGTAGAAATGGTGAAATGGACACAGCACTGTGTTTGTTTGAGAACATGATTCAGAAAGGAAATCATCCAAATGCTGTTACTTATGCATTGTTAATGGAAGGATGGTGCTTCATAGGTAAATACAAGGAAGCCAAAAAATTGATGTTCGATATGGAGTTTCATGGTTGTAAACCGCGGCCTGTGAATTATGGTGTTTTAATGACACATCTTGGAAAGACGGGGAACATCGACGAGGTGGAATCTTTACTAAATGAGATGAAGAAGAGACGTTTGAAGCCTGACGTTGTGACGTATAATATTCTTGTGAATTACCTGTGCAAGGAAGGAAGGGTTGAGGATGCTTATAAAGTATTGGTTAAAATGCAAGTTGGAGGTTGTAATCCTAATGCAGCAACTTATAGGATGATGATTGATGGGTTTTGTAATGCAGGGGACTTCGATGGGGCTATGAAGGTTTTGAATTCCATGTTGATGAGTGGGCACTGTCCTCGTTTACAAACTTTTGCTTCTTTAATTGTTGGCCTTTTGAGAGGCGAAAACAGTAACTATGTTTTCTTTGTCTTGGAGGAGATGGAAAAGCGACAGATGAGGTTTGACGCTGAAACTTGGAGGACTTTGGTTATGGATGCTTGTGGCCAGGATGTTGTTGATATAGGCAGCCGGATAAACGAGTTGATCTCCTTACAACACTGAATCTGCAATGAAACAATGGTAACATTTACAAGTCTTTGTATATTGTACTGTTATTTAGTGTAGAATTTGATTTTCACATACCAATCATCAGAATTTGATTCTCAACAATGCAATTGTCTTCCTGTCGATTTTGATATTGTCGATTTTGATATTCTCAACAATGCAACAAACAAAACTTCTGTTATCTTTATAATTATATGATATTGTCGATTTTGAGTATAGACTAACTTTATCTTTGGTTTCATCTAAAAAGTTTCAATAAAAAGTTCTACATTAATCGATGATAGTTGTTTTGAGCAATGGATTGATTTTAAAAGTTTTAATTTAGAAATGAAAACGGTTAAGAATGATGCTCTGATACCATGTTAAGAATGAAAATTGTTATTGACCTATACTCGTAAAGACAAGTCGGGTGTTATTGACCTACACTCATAAAGACAAGTTGGGTGTTATTGACCTACACTCGTAAAGATAAGTTGGTGTTATTGACCTACACTCGTAAAGACAAGTTGGGTGTTATTGACCTACACTCGTAAAGATAAGTTGGGTGTTATTGACCTACACTCGTAAAGATAAGTTGGGTGTTATTGACCTACACTCGTAAATACAAGTAAAGTGTTATTGACCTACTCTCGTAAAGACCAGCAGGGTGTTACTGACCTACCCTCGTAATTACAACTGGGATGTTATTGACCTGTGATTAGTTAAAATTTTATATTTTATATATTTTATCTTTATCTTTTTCTTATCTTTTTCTTATTTTTTGGATTTAGGATGCAGTTTGTATTCTAATTTCATAACAATGCTACCGCTCATGTTTTGCCAATCAACGAAGCTTCTTTCAAATTTTGAAGGTGAAAGAGATGTTGAAAGGAAGAAATTTTTTATGGTGTTACATGTAATTTAATAATACGAAGAAAAAAATATTAATTTAATTTAGCTGTTTCTATAATGACCTTATTTTTATTATTAAAAATACTCAAAAAGTGGTCTTGCTGCTAGAGTCGAAAAATGTAATCACATGTAATCATGGTGTGATCTATGTTTTTATAAAAATATTATGACTTTGGTCTCATAGGGTTGGCTGTATAGTACTTTTCTACACATATCTCACACATGTGTACATGTATCCACTAGACATGTTCCTATATGTACCCGATCTAACTACGGACTAGTACACGCTCACGTTGCCAGAAACTATGGAGGAAAAGGAGTCTGCATAATATCATAGTATACACGTATGTACTAATCATAACGAGGAAATACCCTGATGCATGTGACGTACAAAATGCATGAGTCTCATAGTTTCAAATCACAACATATGCTTATGATGCAAATCATACCTCCATTCTTTTCATGATATAGCGTTCTTATGAGACATGCATCTGTATACTGGACATATCTTTCATGATTAATGTATATGACTTATTGATGTCTCGTAGGTATAGAGTGAACATATTGCCATAATATAAGTGGCATAACATTGGTATCACAACATAGTTTCATAATATAGCATAATCATATCATAGTTCCTATCGTAGCATAAATTGTCACATAATCTTGATGTGCTTGATAACTGATACACTTTTAACTATTTATTATATATTAATTTCCGTATCATACAAAAATTTCTAAACAATTACACCTAACTTTTGTTGTGATACTCATAAAGAAGGAAGCGATCTTAATGATATGATAGTTGAAAAAAGATACGATGGTTGAAAAAAAAACTGAGTCAACAATGGGGCAAAAATGTCATTTTGCCCCTCCCGCCATGATAGGGGTTTAAGGAAAACCCATCAATCCTCGTGCAAAAGAAAGAGAAAGTTAGAAAGAAACCGAGAGGAAACAGAAAAGAGTCGCCGCGAAGTTCATCAGACCACTGTCGGAATCCACCTTCAGACGAGACCTGTACAAGGACCGATAGGCTAGCGAGGCCGACGCTCCGTCAAGATTCAATAACGATTCGTGAGGTAAGGTTCTGAACGACATTTTCATATCTGAGCTTTTCCTATGTGAATCAAGTCCTAAAATGTTGATTTATTCGCCTAGGAACAACTCTACACCCGATATGCGAAGAAGTTTGGCCAAAATCTCAACTCGAAGGCGGAGATCCGAAAATCGTCCGAGAACGGTAAGCAAACTTTCGATGCTCTTAACTCGTCCGGTAGTTAAGCAAAAAATTACGAAAAAAATACCAGAACGTAACCCGTAACACGATCTAGAACCTTGCCGAAGAAATCATACCGATCCGAACTACGAATCAAAAGATATGAAAATCGGAAATGGGACTCCGTGTTATGAATTGCAGAGGATAGAGATGGAAAAAAAAATGGAGTCGGCCGGCGAGCGGCGGAAGGCGGCGCGAGGCGTCGGTCAAGGGAAGGCGTGATGGAGACGGAGATTGTCACAGAGGAATGAGTTGTCCCGGGGCGTCAGTCCAGTCTTTATTTTGTATTTGCATTCTTTTGAAATTTATTTCCAAACGTTCTGTTCGTTTGTCGTTCAAAAACTTTATTGGAGTTAAAGGATTTCCTCTCTTTCATATTTAAATCACTTTGTGCATTCATGTGTTGTAATTAGTCACGGTCCGTAGTAAAATATTGGGTCGTGACAAAAATAAAAAGAATTAAAGTTACTATGTGTATACAAATAAGATGAACCTTCTTTTCCGATGGCTCAATTATAAGAACACTAAAGTTGAGTGTGTTTTTCTTGGATCAATTTTATGTTGGATGATTTTTCAGGATTTTTTCTAGTAAGCATGTATGAGGATAAAATATGCTGAAAGAACCCATGTTGGTTGATGCAATGCAATATCTGGAGATATGGAAGAATGCTCGAGTATTAAAGCGTTCGTGCCATTACAATTAGATGAATGGCGAGAAGAAGCATTTGAAGAATACGATGTTGAAGTTGAAGATGTGCCTCAAAATACAAAGATAGAAACTCAACAAGGGCTTAATCAGACTACGCCCCTAGAACAGCCTACGATCACGTTCACCCTGGAGGCTCTGCAATTCTTCACGAAGACAATCATGAAAACACAGACAAGCTAGATAATTTACGCTATCTTGACAACCCAAGGAATGCACGCATCCAGAAGTCGAACTATTGACGAGTACCTGTTTGATCCACTCAATATTTGATAGAGGTAAGGTGGATCCTGTGGCAACCGACACATAGCTAGAAGCTACTTCCCATAAAACTTTAAGGTCCATTGTGTCACTTACATGATAAATGGTGGAAAACTACCTTCAAGACCTTGTGCATGAAAGAAAGGGCCATCCCTTGGACCTGATTTAGGGAAACCTTTTTCGAGAAGTACTATCCCATCGTAGCGATGTCCAAGAACCAAAAAGCATTCCTGAGCCACAAGCAACGAGATAAAATGGTGGAGGAATACGACTCAGAATTCACCATGCTGTAACGACCCTAAATTTCCACATATCTAGAGTCGCCACTAACGTCTCATGCTCATCTCTAATGTAGAATAAAAATCTAAGAATGTTCTTTTTTATTAACGGAAAAATTTTAAACTTCAAAATACATTTAAACATTGGAAAACACTGCCGGACTTACGTGTTTCAAACATCGTGCTGGAGTTCAAAAGATAAAATAAAACGATTACAAATTAATTAATATAAATGAATGAAATGCAAACGCCCTATCCTACCCAAGACTAGGAATTTTAAATATGCAACTATCCTATGCACGCGCCACAGTCTCTGATCACGATGCCACCGTCAACTGTACATGGGAGCCTTGCCTTTACCTGAAAAACAATATGGCACATGGCCTGAGTATTTCGAAGAAATACTTAGTAAGTGACCCCACTATAGGGGCCATGCTAATGCAAACACATGCAATCATGAATAGAAACCTATCTCTAATCATCTTAGGGGTGGCCTCCAGTCTCGGACAAATTGGATGTGTAGTACTTCCCTACACACAACTCACACGTGCGAGTGTGAGTCCCTAGGGCGCTCGCACACTCCCTAGACCCTCTGGTCAAGCTAATCTGTAGCGACGTCCGAAGGTCAGCGGAACCCCATAGTGTCATGCGCCTCATGAACACCCTCATCTGTGTGCTTTAGCACCTGTGCGCATTTGCGCTCATTATAAGGTGCGCGTCCGCACTCATCATCTCTAGGGGAAGTAGCCCTATGCTTATGAACATACAAAATGCATGAGGTCCCTCTAAATCCATCGTAATGTCTCTTCTGACACAACCCTCTAATCTCATCTCTTTGTTACTCTAGGTAACGCATATTCGTGGATATTTATATTAATATCATTTTCATGCTCTCAGGGTTGTGTCCTATGTCGATCTAACGACATGATGCAATATGGCACTCATCATCATCTAGCATGCTCAATATGGAAAACATCATCATATTAAGGTAAAAATCATGCAATCATCATGCTCATCATAATGCCACGTCAAACATATCAAGCATCACTCAACAAAATATGTATATACTGCACATATCATCAAGCATCATAATCCACACATCATCATAACTCATACAATTTATTTAGCCTATCCTATAGTAAGGCCACTTACTTGGTTGGCCTTGGCCGAAGTACTCCCTAAATAGCTAAACGTAAGCTCCCGTTCTGTGAAAGCTGCTTCCTACGTCGCTGGGGTTTGTTTTCTATCACACCGTTCACCACTTCCCGTTAGTATTTCATAATTAATTTACCTATAATTCAACAAATTTGAAATACGGCTCTAAAACGGCCTCGAATACCTTAATCGGGGCCGAAAACAGATTCGGGAGGGTTGAAACAGTGGAAACCGGGTTGAAAACAGGTGAGCCGAGCCGAACAGCCGCTGGAAGCCGCCGAAGCGAGCTCGAGCCGTTTGCGCTGAGCCGAGGGACCGCCTGCGCCTCTGTGTGACACGTGGCAGCAGCAGAGCGAGCCACGTCGCGCGGTAGCGTCGGGTCGAAGCGCGGGTCGCAGTCTGGTTCAGGTCGTGGTCCGGGTCGCGGGTTGCGGAGGCTACTAGGCCAAGATTACAGTTGGACCTCGGCTTATTGGGCTGGGCCGAAAGTTTTTTTTTTTTTGGGTTGCA